GGACTTCCATCAAGAAAAAAATCTTTTTCTCTAAGTCTTCCCATAACCAAGTAAGAATTTCAAAACAATTGCCAAAAAAAAGTGAATTGGGTTTGCCTGAGCATCATGCTGAGTGTTCTGGATTACAACCTTACTCTAGAGTGTGTTTTATAATTTATTTTTGAAAATGTGTATCATTGGCTCGGCGCCTGTGGCTCAAGTGGCTAAGGCACCAGCCACATTCACCTAAGGGGGCGGGTTCGAATCCAGCCCGGGCCTGCCAAACAACAATGACAGCTGCAACCAAAAACTAGCCAGGCGTTGTGGCGGGCGCCTATGGTCCCAGCTACTTGGGAGGCTGAGGCAGAAGACTCGCTTGAGCCCAGGAGTCGGAGGTTGCTGTGAGCTGTGATGCAACAGCTCTCTACCCAGGGTGACAGCTTGAGGCTCTGTCTCAAAAAAAAAAGAAAATGTGTATCATTTTAATGCAGAATAAATGTTTAAGCTTCCCTGATACTTTCTGGTTAAAGACAATATATTTTTTATTGATGATTAGTTTGGGGATTTTTTGTATGTGAGACAGAGCCTCAAGCTGTAGCCCTAGGTGGAGTACCATGGCATTACAGCTCACAGCAACCTCCAACTCCTGGGCTTAAGCAATTCTCTTGCCTCAGCCTCCCAAGTAGCTGGGACTACAGGCACCCGCCACAACGCCTGGGTATTTTTTTTTTTTTTTGGTTGCAGCTGTTGGCCCCAGGCTGGATTTGAACCTGCCAGCTCAGGTGTATATGGCTGGCACCTTAGCTGCTTGAGCCACAGGCGCCGAGCCTAGTTTGGAGATTTTAAATTTAAAAAAAAATTTTTTTTTGCATGACTTGATTAACTAATAGCTATACTATTTAAAAATAATAGTAGGAAGAAGAGGCAGGGGCAGCACCTGTGGCTCAAAGGAGCAGGGCACCAGCCCCATATGCCGGAGGTGGCAGGTTCAAACCCAGCCCCGGCCAAAAATTGCAAAAAATAAAAAAATAAAAATAGCAAATATATCAGAGATGTTTTAAAAAAGAAGAAGAAATAGAAGGCTATCTTTCATCTCTTGTCCAGAAGGAAATGGATACTACATGGAGAAACTGGGAAGGGCTGGGGAGGGGACAACCAGGACAAGGATATACCGGGTACTGTTGCAGAAAGAGATCAGAGGGTGGCACCTGTGGCTCAAAGGAGTAGGGCGCTGGCCCCATATGCCAGATGTGGCGGGTTCAAACCCAGCCCTGGCCAAAAAATGCAAAAATAAATAAATAAATAAATAAAAGATATCAGAGTCTAGTTTGTACCTATGACTTTTTTACTTGGCCTTTTTTTTTTGAGAAATAAAAGGGGCAGGTCTTTTATAGACTTAAATTCCTAGAATTATTGTATAGTAATTTTCAAATTTTATAAAAGCTAATTGAGAAAAACACTAAATGATAGGAAGAATTTGTATTTAGTTTAGGAAAATCCTTTTGAATCTTAAAATGGCAATGTGTCCTGTGAAATTTCATGTCAAAGCAATAAATAGCAAATAATTATTTGTAAAAATTAAAGCTTTTGGGCGGTGCCTATGGCTTAAGGGAGTAGCCGGCCCCATGTGCCAGAGGTGGCGGGGTCGAACCCAGCCCCGGCCAAGAACTGCAAAAAAAAAAAATCAAAGCTTTCTTTTCATTGACCTTCAGCCTCTGGGTTCTCTGGTATTTCGTCATCTTTTTTTTTTTTTTTTTTTTTGAGACAGAGCCTCAAGCTGTCCCCCTGGGTAGAGTGCTGTAGCATTACAGCTCACAGCAACCTCCAACTCCTGGGGCTCAAGCGAGTCTCCTGCCTCTGCCTCCCAAGTAGCTGGGACCACAGGCGCCCACCACAACGCCCGGCTATTTTTTGGTTGCAGCCGTCATTGTTGTTTTGGCGGGTCCGGGCTGGGGATTCGAACCCGCCACCTTAGGTGTATGTGGCTGGCGCCTTAGCCGCTTGAGCTATAGGCGCCGAGCCTTGTCATCTTTCTTGTCTACTACTAAAACTGTCTCACCATCTCTCATCATCCTCTCCCACCTATCTGTTTTTCATCATATCAAACCTCAATTTCTTAACTATATCGTCAATCCCATATTCTTAGCCTTATCAGCCTCCTCTTCCCTACTCTCACCTTCCTTCCTAGCCTTCCTTTCCCAGCACAGCTTTTTCCAGCTTCCTAATTCCTAATTTCCTGCTTCTCTTGCCCAGTGAGCCACACACAGCCTCCAGGCAGCACTCCCAGCCATCTCCTGACCCTTCTCTCCATCCCATCTTTTCTGGACTACTGCATGAGTTGGGATTATCCTAGTCTACTGTAAACTCCCAAATAGTATGAATTAGGTCTTTTATATGGAGATTCGCTCTCCCATTGTATGTATTCTCTCTACACCTATGTTTCTACTGTGCATGCTACTTCCAAAATGTCCTCTCCCCGGTAGAAAACTAAGCTGCCACCATGTTCTGCATAGTGACTTATCAGATAGTCATCACTGAATTTTGAGTATCTGTTATGTGTAGAATCCATGAATACATTTACTGACATCGAGTCGGAGTAATATTAACAAAAATAATAAGACCATAAAAAATATTGAAACAATGAACTCAGCCTTTCTCCTCCTATGGTTCTCCTAGTAAAAACCTAGAATATTCTTCAGGACAAAAAGGGTGAGCTCAGCGCCTGTGGCTCAAGTGGCTAAAGCGCCAGCCACATACACCTAAGGTGGCGGGTTCTTATCCAGCCCGGGCTCGTAAAAACAACAATGACGGCTGCAACCAAAACAAAAACAGCCTGGCATTGTGGCGGGCACCTGTGGTCCCAGCTACTTGGGAGGCTAAGGCAGTAGATTCGCTTGAGCCCAGGAGTTGAAGATTGCTGTAAGCTGTAATGCCACAGCACTCTCCCCAGGGGGACAGCTTGAGGTTCTGTCTCCAAAAAAAGAAAGAAAGAAAGGGTGAACTTCGCCAGGGTGAACTCCTGGTATAGTATTTAGCACTAGTGACTCTAAATGAGAGGAGAATTTTAATTGTGTTTTTTTTATCAAAAGAGTGGATTTTCTAGGCCAGGCATGGTGGCTCACACCTGTAATCCCAGCGCTTGGGAGACCAAGGTGGGTGGATTGCCTGAACTCACAGGTTTGAGACCAGCCTGAGCCAGAATGAGACCTCATCTCTTAAAAAAAAAATAGGGTGGCGCCTGTGGCTCAAGGAGTAGGGCACCAGCCCCATATACCAGGGGTGGCAGGTTCAAGACTGGCCCTGGCCAAAACTGCAAAAAAAAAAAAAAAAATAGCCAGGCGTTGTGGCGGGTGCCTGTAGTCCCAGCTACTTGGGAGGCTGAGGCAGGAGGATCACTTGAACCCAAGAGTTTGAGGTTGCTGTGAGCTAAGACACCACAGCGCTCTACCAAGGGTGACCAGTGAGACTTTGTCTCAAAAAAAAAAAAGGATTTTCTTTATATTACAGAATTAGACTTGTGTACAGAAATGCCTGTAACTTATGTAATTTAAGGCATGTAATGATGAGAGTTGAAGATTGGTTTCTGTTCTTCTTTTTAGTTAATTATGCTCTTTTAAAAGAGGTATTTCCATTATGCTATTAGTTTAATAACAATTTTAAATTCTTCAAAGTATGTTTGAAAAATTGATACATTTTAGGGCAGCACCTGTGGCTCAGTGGGTGGGGCGTTGGCCCCATATACTGAGGGTGGCAGGTTCAAACCCGGCCCCAGCCAAACTGCAACAAGAAATAGCCAGCCGTTATGTCAGGCACCTGTAGTCCCAGCTACTTGGGACAGTCAAGAGGATTGCCTAAGCCCAGGAGTTAGAGGTTGCTGTGAGCTGGGATGCCACAGCACTCTTATCAAGGTCGATAAAGTAAGACTCTGTCTCTAAAAAAAAAAAAATGATACATTTTAGATCAGCAAATGGGAAAACACTTAATATTTCATTTAATTATAAAATTATATCTGTAATTTTCCTTAATTTTCATATGAAAGAAGATTAGAATGGAATTTTCCATAGGAAATAAAATAATGAATCTGTTTGGGTGCCATAACTATAGGTGATTTTTCTTTCTTTTTTTATCTTACCTTATTTTGCTTATTGCTATAGGATGTTTTTTATGTAATAACTAAAATTCAGGGATTCGGGAGAAAGCTTGAAACTTAGAATTTTTGAAAAATCTCAATAGTTCTCTTGCTTCTAGCAAAGCTTGTGCCCTTATTATTTCTAGAATTTGATCTTGACCTCTAAATTAGTGGTTCTCAACATTCCTAATGCCACGGCCCTTTAATACCGTTCCTGTGGGTCACAATCCACAGGTTGAGAACTGCTGCCCTAAACAGAGCAGCCTGAGAAGGTAGAAATGGGAAGAGATCACTGTCTCCTATGTCAGTGTCTGAAGGCAGCATGTAGTTCATCCCGCAGATGGTACTTTCAGAGCCATGATATTCAAGGAATAAAGGATTGTAAATACCTCAAAACACCATCCCTTCCAGTCTGGTGATCTGGGAAGAAGCAGTATAGCAGAGTGGCTGAGAGCAACTGTGGACTTAACTGTCCCATGGGCTTTGAGTTTGTCAAGGACCAGATGTAACTTGGGCAACTTAGATTATTTGGGCTTACATTAATTTATGTATAAGATAAGAAAATAATGAAATCTAAATCAAAGAGTTATAATAAAGATTAACAGAGTAGATCAAGTAAGAATGTTTAGTGACATAGCTGTTGCCCATTATATCTATTTTATCCCACTTGGCTTTCTTGAATTCCTAGACTTTGGAACTTTGCTAGAGGTATTTTCTGTGCCTCCCCATTTAATTAATTAATTAATTCGTTTATTAGTTTTGCTTCTACAGGTAAGGTGAGAATGACCAATTTCTGTTTAGTGTGCTAATCAGAAGTCTGCTGGTGGGGGATCACCTGTTGCCCTGTCTCTACCTCTGCCTATGGAAGTAACCTCCTTCTGTTTCTTTACAGATATATGTAATTGACAGTGCGGACAGAAAAAGATTTGAAGAGACAGGTCAGGTAAATAATTATTTTTTTATGAGTGGTGCCTGTGGCTCAGTGAGTAGGGCACTGGTCCCATATACCGAGGGTGGCAGGTTCAAACCCAGCCCTGGCCAAACTGCAACAAAAAATAGCTGGGTGTGGCAGCAGTCACCTGTAGTCCCAGCTACTCAGGAGGCTGAAGCAAGAGAATTGCCTATGCCCAAGAGTTGGAGGTTGCTGTGAACTGTGACGCCAAGCACTGAGGGTGACAAAGTAAGACTCTATCTCTAAAAAAAAATAACAATAATAATTCTTTTTCATAGCAAAGATCCAATGTAAAAAAGGAATTATTATTCTGTTGAGATATTTCCCAAATAACTGAGTATTCTTTTTTTTTTTGAGACAGAGTTTCACTATGTTGCCCTGTAGAGCACTGTAACATCACAACTCACAACAACCTCCAACTCTTGGGCTTAAGTGATTCTTATCCTAAGACTTCTCTGGAGGCTCGGCACCTGTGGCTCAAGTGGCTAAGGCGCCAGCCACATACACCTAAGGTGGCAGGTTTGAATCCAGCCCAG